ATGTATCAATTAAAAATATGTAAAATGATTAAAATATAGTTCTCAAACTTCTTTTGGGGATATAATTAATAGGTTGTGGTTACCTTTTTTATTGTCCATTTGTTTGCACATTAAGCACTGCTGCAATGGAACTTTTTCTGAGGCTTGCTAGCAAATGTAAGCATCCAAAGGCTTCTAGTCCTGAACTCGGGAGCAAAATCCCTTAAGCAGAGTATGCTTTCCTTTTGAAGGCCACATAGGATGGACTTTGTAATACTTGAAACATGGTTTCTGTAGTACTGTTGCATTGGCTAACTAATATGGATTTTCTTGTATTTTAAATTTGCTTTTTTAATTGTATTGAAAGCCTTAACCTTCCAGAAAAGCCATGTTAGTTAGCAGGTGCAACAGTACTACAAATCCATGTTTTAAGTATTACAAAATCCATCCTGTGTGGCCTTCACTTCTAGCAATAGCACTTAGATTTATATAATGCTTCATAGTGCTTTACAGTCCTCTCTGAGCAGTTTACAGAGTCAGCATATTGCCCCCCCCCCAACCATCTGGGTCCTCGGAAGGATGGAAGCCTGAGCCAACCCTGAGCCAGTGAGGATTGAACTGCTGGCAATCGGCAGAATTAGCCTGCAATACTGGATTCTAACCACTGCACCACCACAAATGTTTAAATTACATATAACACACAAGTGACATATATCTAATTGGTCTTCAAGGAGACTAAAGTACCATTCTTGGCTTCTCTCTTCTTGTGTTCTCCATATACAGTATCTCAATGCTGTGGAGCAGATTATTCAGAGGCCCAAATTCACTCAGCTAGCTGTAACTCTGAGTAGCAGTTTCAGCATGGCCTCTTCAGTCCTTGTCTATCATCAAACTGATTATTTTACAGTGCCCTGCATCCCTCTGTTTAATGCTGCAGCATATGGCTACTGTGCTAAAATATGACACTGAACATGTAGCACTGTATATACCATAAGAACTGTTGTTCCAGATTGAATCAGAAGAAGGGCCATTTAATGAGGCATTTGGTGTTCTCATCGGTATCCAATCTGATGTCTCAAAGAACCCAAAGACCTGCAAGCAGGTCACAGATTTCACCTCTCTTTTCTCAGCCATTCCTTTTTCAAGCTTCACTTAGTTCAATCCATCCGGAAGAAAGAGAACCCTTTTTGCCAATTATTGTAGTTGTTCTGCTCTTGTCTTCTTGCCTGCTGCAAAAAGCGGCTGCATTTCTGCTATCGTTACGTCTTCATGTGTCAGACTTCCACTGATTTCTGCTGTTTTTGCAATATCTGCCCAAATGGCTCTCTGTTTCTTGGAAGAGTAACAGTGGTGATGATTAAAAGGTTTTACTGTATGCATATCTTCCTGGCTGGGCCATTACTTAGAAGCTTAGAGAAAGGGGGTGGTAGGAATAACTCCAATTATGTAGCCATTTTCAAGCCTATTCCTGCAGCACCGAATAAAGAGCTGGATTTGTAACATATTGCAGGACAATTATTGCCAACTTAAGCCCCGTGAGAAATTCGGTGTACCCCAAACCTGTGCTTTAGTCAGAACAAATGTTGTATCAGCCTATGATCTCTTGACATAAATAAAAGCTGATTCACATGACTTTCTTATTTAAAATTATATACATTTTTAATATTATACATTAAGGCCCAGTACTGTATACATGAGTACCTATATACGAGTACAAATAGTTTTCGTAGATTTCCTTAGAGAAAAATATAGCTCAGCCCTAATGCCATTTGAAGGTTAGACATGGGCAGAAAGCCTTGCAAAGAAGTTTCATCAGCAGGAGGGGAACCTTTACCTGGGTGGCCCAGTTAGAAAATTATGCAAGGGTGAATTGCCAGCATGGGTGTCCTTATCAGGGAAACAACAACAACAGAAACAGCCTAGAAGCCACTGGATCAATAAAACTGATTCATTCTTCGATTCTAGGATTGGGTTCCATTCCTGTTCCAATCTCAGGTTTAGTCCATTATATATATAAAAAGGTCTTCTTTGAAAAAAGGTCTGTTTCTGGTGACTTAATGCACATAGGTAATGTCTGGCAACAAATGGCAATGGTTTGTCACTGCCTTCCATGATGTTTTTCAGCCTCCCATCCTACGGTGGGATTTCCTAGGTTTCCCATCCATTTCCCATCTGTGGGAAATCACCCCCCAGAGAAGGAAATATTAAAAGGGCAGAAAAAAGTATATTTTCTCAAAGGATCTTGAAGAGGCAGGAAAGCATGCCCAGTTTTCTTAATAGCCCCAAGTCTGCCTCCCCCAAGCAGAAACCAGCTCTGTACAAATGCAGATGCAGACCATTCAAGAAAGTTGGAGCTAGAAGATTAAGAAGACAAAGACCTAAAATCTGCATACCTTACCCAAACTCTTAAGAGTCATTAGCCCAGCCCCAGGGAAGCAGGATATGACCTTTGGGACATAATAGGATTAAACCACGGATACCAAGGCCCAGAAAAGCACACTCAGACTCAGTTCAAAGTTCATGCCACAGGAACAGGAAACAACTCAAAACAAAAGGCTTCAGAGGGTATAAAAAATCCACTCCCTACATGTGTTCTCTCTCTTTTCTGCCAGAGCCATCTTCCTGTCTGGCTTTTTTCTCCAATAAACTACAACCTTCTTCCCAAAGCAGTTGCCATGTTTATTCCCAGCTTGGATGAACCAGGATGAAGACTTTTCTTCCAACACATCCAAGTACAAGCCAGGACTGACCATGCTTAGCTTTCTTTCAACCAAAGTCACAAGGTGTTGCCATCAGTGGTTATGTTCAAAAGGAGAGGGCATTTGAAAAAACAATAATAAAGGGAAGAAGAATCTTTCTCCACATAAGCTAGCAAGATTTTGAAAGTGGTAGATGATCTATTAATTTAGCCCATATTAGATCTCACTCTTCTTGAGACCATTTGTACCTATGCTGAAATGTACGTTAATCCTGTTTGGCGTATTAAATGTGGAACAATCCTACATTTTGTTTCTAATGCCAGGACTTTTAAGGAACATCTGGGCACTGAGCAATATACACTGGGTTCCCAAAATGGTGCCTGTAGATATTTACTTTGCTAGCCACAGGCTCCATGCTCTTCCTTTATTTAAAGATTCAGTATTTTTTTTAATAGGAAATCAGCAGGCAGCAAAGCAAAGACTGACTTATAAGAGAAATCTGGGCCCTTCATGTACACCTGACACATTCTTAGAAAATAGAAAAGATGGGAGGCAGCCACAGCAGCAAGCTACATTTGAAAATGTTTGAAAAATCCAGAAATAAGAAGGAGTGGACAGCATTCCAGGAAGCTACAGGTGATGGTGAGTAGCAATATTCTTCATTTGGCTTCTAGTGACCATTGGCTTGATGTGCCCACTGTAGCAGTTATTTTGGGAGAGTTCCCAGGATATGGTTTCATTCCGAGTACATCTACGAGCCCCAAACATTTATGAACCTAGATTTGAACTAAACTCAAGCCTGTGAAAGTATGAGCACTTCTTGATAGCATGCTAAAAATGTGTTTTAAAAAACAGTCAAAAAGTTCGTTCATTTTAAATAACTAGGAACAGAATATTCACACACCCCAAATTAATAAGCCATAGTCTTTAAAAGGAAAGGAAAACATATATCTGATTCAATCACTCATTTGGAGTAGAATTGTCAACTTTTATCTCAGGTGATGAAGGAAGAACCAGCACAAGGGCTGGACTGAGCAGATATAATCTTGTAGACATTATTCTACCAGCATTACATAATTCCATTATGTTCTATGACTAGACACTAAAAAATAAGCTATTCGCAGTCACTGTGTAGGACCTGCACACCGTTCATTTTCAGGTCAAGTAACTCCAGTTCTGGCTCTATGCTCTCTATAGTCATAAGATGAGAATCAAAACAAAATTGCATGACTGTTTTGAGAAATTATTTGTCCTTTTCTTCACATGTTCCATTTCAGTACCATCAGATACTGTCACTCATTGCTTAGTCATGTAAACATATGCAAGCATTATATTGCTTATTGTGTGGATTTCATGGATTAATCGATCCTATTATTGGTTGAATACATTAATGATACTACCTCCTTAAGCCTCATTCCTACATAATGAGTTGGAAGCACCTTTCAGCAATTCAGTCCACAGGCATTGCCAGTTACATTGACTTGTCTGTCCTTACTAATAAAATTTTCCTCAATTTATAAAAGACCTGCTCAATTCTTATTCCCATTTGTTTGGAGCTCTCTTAAAACCAATCTGAAATAATCAAATTTGCTATTTTCAATCTTTTATAAACAATAAATTTTTCAGTGATGGCTTTGAATTAATTCCACACCACTCAAGTCCCATTCAGTTGTGATTTTTTTTTCTTTCTGAATATTTCTGAAATAAAGGAGAATCTTTTAAAAATTTACCAGCTGCATACAAGAGGAAAAGTAACTTTTCTATACTTTGCATGACAAACTCTCATTTTCAATATTTTCTCTGCTATACATCTACTGTCTATAGGGTCCCTGTACTATTTTGTATTTGGAAAGAATAGAGGGAACAAAGTAACTGCTACCAACTGGAATATCAAGTGAAGAGACTAGCTGGAAGGTGCAGTTCTTTAAAAAAAAAATTCATGTCCACCTTAAGGCACTGGAATTGTTCCACCTTAAAAGTATTAACCCTGAGCTAGAGCCCAACCCTTTTGCCTGATGCTGATGCTGCCGATTCCTGCAGCAGGAGGAGGGGGATACAGGCACTGCAAGCAGCATCCCAGGGTACCACAGGCACGGAAGACTTACCAACCCAGCCAAGAGAGCCAACAGCTCTGCTGCTGTGGGGTGACAATCTAGGAAAGGCTTCCCCTTTGTGATCCTTCTTTCGAGAGTGCCTGTGTGCAACCTGCTTTTGCCTCCCTCTGTCTCTCATTTTTCCTTGGGAATTGCATCTCCTGCTGCTCTTCACTCCTTTTAGCTACAAAAGCTGCACACCAAGACAGAGCTCCATTGCCCAGCCAGCATGACTACCGAAATCAATGAATGCAGCATCAAGGTGCTTTGTAGGTTCCGGCCCTTGAATCAGTCGGAGATCATACGGGGAGATAAATTCATCCCGGTTTTCCAGGGCGATGACACCGTCATCATTGGGGTAAGCAAATACTGGAGGTGAGAGAAATGTGTACATCTGTCTGGAAATGCTTCAGAAATGAAAGGCTTTCACTTCTTGATCCTCTTAGTAAGGCCTGTTCTGGATGGCAAATTGCCCTTGAATACAAGAGCCGGATGCTCTTAAAGCCAGCTGAATCTATGCTTAAATTCAGCTCTTTTGTGTGCTAAGAAGCCATCCAGGTGGAATCTTTTATATCTTCCTGCTAGCTTAAAAGCTATCATCATAAACAAGGGCGCCTCTCCATCTGTCCAAGGGAAAATTGATAATGGTAAAAAGATGCTTTGAGGTTTTTTTTATTTGTGTTTGCATCCTTGAAGCCACTGGGTGTGGCTAGTTTAGCTATTGGTTTGACTCCTGGGAAAAAAAATAAAGGAACCTCTTAGAATTAGATGGAAAACAAAACAAAAATTCATAGCAAATGCAATGTTGGTTTCTCTCCATTAAATCTCTTTGCAAGTGCTATATTTTCTTCTCTTTCCAAACCTTAAAATTATTCTGTTAGTTCAACTTTAAATTATCCTGTTCTTTCTCCTCCATATCCCCACCTATAGAATATTCACTCAAAGATGAAAAGTTGATGTCTAATTGGATTTTCCAACATTAACAATTGAAATTTTTCTGGCAATTCCCACTGCATCCTATCCATCTCCATAATGCTCCATGTGCCAGTTTCATTCATAAGTATAAGAATACAAATTATGCAGGTGCTTGCTAAATAGTCGGCAGATTGTTTACACATGTCTGACAACGCCCCTGAAGCTTGTCCTTGGGGTCACTGAGTTTGCTTTTTTTGTTATATTCTGGGGTTTTGTCGATTGGCTATTTCGGGAGCTAAATATACCCACTAAGGGGAGGAGTCGTGACTGATTTTGCTTGGAGTAGAAACACATATATGCTGTTACCATGCTGAACAATTATGTTTAACCCTCCTCTCATAATAGACCAATGCCACTAGCCATTATTTTATCAGTAGCTGGTTACAATTGGGGGACTAAAAAGGGTTGTGTATGTTCAAGAAGTAGCTAGTTGTCACTTTGCAGAGGGCCAGCAGATGAATAATCTACCTCACTAGTCTTTAAACTGTAATTTAGGGTTCATCCACTGGCCACAACTGATAGATATTAAATTAAGATTAGTTTGGTTTGCACTCAAGATGACCCAGCTACTGGTGGTATATGGGAGGATTCAAACTCCCAAATAGTCTACTTTACCGCACATGAATTTATGCTTTCAGGATCTCTCCCTAGTCCCTTGCAGCAGAGGGCAATCAGCATGGCCTGACTGCTTTCCTATTGCACCGGCAAATTAAGGCCTGTGATCTCAAATTTATTTTCCACTCTGATGTCAAGTTGTTTTCTCTTGCCTTGGCTTGGAAAAGGCTGGCATGTTAAAAAAAAAAAAAAAAAAAGGCCTTTTTGATTTGGTCCTGCTGCACTGCAAAGTCATTCCAGTTGGTGGGTTCAGCAGAGATTTTCAGTGGAGCTCCTGAACACGATGGGCCTGTGTTCACAATTTGTGTCGTTCCTTTCTTTCTTTATAAAATCTGAACTGCAGTTATCTGTTCATTTGAACTACAATCAAACTATTCAAAATTGCTTACGCTCTACCCCAGTTATCACCAGATCAGTTAAGACTGGTCTATTAAGAGATGGATTCATTTAGGCACTTGAAGTTGGGTAGATTTATGCCTTTCCTGAAAGACAACCCCATTCTTCTTCCTTTGGAAGAAAACCACAATGAGGCATGAATTTCACTGCAGAGAGAGCAGGCAGCAGGATGCCTGGGCTCAGCTGCTTGGTCATCTCTCAGAGCAATGACTAGGAGCCTTCTTTCCTAGGTACCACTCCCTTCCTTTGTGTTCAGCTCTAGGCCATTATTAGATCCATTTCTAGGTTACATCTTTGTTTTGATGCCACCGTCATCTTGATCTTCTGCTCTTTACTGCTTTCCAGATGAGATTGCACATGGCTCCAAGGGGTGTGTGTGTGTGTGTGTGTGTGTGTGTTTTGGAGGGGGGGGTCTCCTTTGCCTGTGGCAATAGGTAAAGCCACTGATTTTACAATCTGCCTCTATCTGCTTGCATCCATTCCAGGACACCTGGAATGAGCAATAGTGATGATGTATTTATTATTTGATTTGCTGATTTTTTTTCCCATTGATGCTGAACCAATTTTCAGCTGGAAAGAACTTATGTTAATAACTGATTTTGTTACACATCAAGGAAATCTGTCTATTTAGCTGTAGCTTTTTTTCTCCTGAAATATTCTGGGAAAATTATTCTTATATCTTTTATGATTCTCTAGTCGTGGTAAAAATGGTGAAAGCATTGTTGCTTTTGAACATGTTCTAAGGAGCCTTCATGACTCCTGTACCTTTTTTTTTGCTATTATTATTATCTCTCGCTATACAACAGAAGTTAACCATATGCAATTCATGAACCTTCTTTCTGAAACCCTAATATTTTCCAGAAATTATGTTGCTAAATACAAGCAACTAATCACTACAAAATGGTGAAAGTATTTCTCTTCATTATTCAGTATATGTAAAAGAAACCACATGTCATGTTTTGCTATGTACCAGTACAATCTAGATCTTTTAGGAAAAAAATCCTAAAGATAACTAACCTGAAGAAATCACACCAATCCCTCTTTGACAACATCACATTACCATCTAACCCACTTCATCATCACTTCGATCCTGCAGAAAAAGGGAAAAATTAACGATAGCCTTGCATCATTGAAAAATGTCTTGCCTCCATTGTAAAGGATTTTAAGCAACAACATGTACACAGGTTTCTCTATCCTGATTAATATCCAGTTGAGGCAGATTCTAAACCTATCATCCTCATCAGTGGTAGGATTCAAATATGTGAACAACCGGTTCTCTGTGTGGATGCCGCTTCCGGAAGTCCATTCTAGGCCTGGGCAACAAAAGATTAGCTACCGGTTCTACCGAAATGGTGCGAACTGGCTGAATCCCACCACTGATCCTCACCATCATAAATAATGGAAGATCTGGCTGGGGTGATATTCAAAACAACTGGGAACTATTTCCTGAGGGAAGGCTGATCTGGACAATCCCGGTCTGCTCATGGACTTGATAGGAACCTCTGTTTCTGGGAGGCCTATCACAGCTAAATCAGTCACGCAATATGCAATATGATTTACCTATATTTAGAATCCTTTAGTCTTTGAAAGTAGTCAAGTTTGTGGACCTCTGTAATTAAATATTCCATAGTTGTAAATGGGAATTTAAAAGGATGCATGGTGCAACTTAAAAAATGGAACTTCCACTCTACCAGCAGAGTCAGCAAAAGGAAGAACTGCCCCAGTACTTCTTCCTTAGCTACTTCTTACCACATCCCATCATTTATTCTTCTCTTCTCTCGCCTGACATGGGTCAGAATTAACTTTTGCCTTATCTTAAAAGGGGGAGAAGAAACTTCATGGTAGCTGATAAGAAGGTCCTCTCCTTGCCTTTTGAATTTTAACTGTCTTCGTCTCCTAATAAAATATTTAGTTTTTATGTTTTTAAATTTTACTTGTACATTGCCCAGAATCCCTCTGTGAGGGAGATGGATAATTTCTAAATTAGATATATAAATAAATAGAAACAGCATAGGCGTTGGTAGAAAACCTCTCCAGTCTATTTTTTTTAAATTAAATGTTTAATTTGTGCTTATTTGGTTTAGTCACAATATTTCTATACTGTACCATACATAAATAGAAAACTCTGTTGCAGTTTTTAGAAACAGTAAAATATTCAAAGCAGACTAGAAATACTAGCAATAGAATACAGCATAAAACTAGCAACAGGGAAGAAAAATAGCATAAACAGGATTAAGGAACAAGCTAACTTTTAGACTGAAAGTTGAAAGTTAAAAGTACTGCTAGAACAAAAACAAAAGTCAAAGTATAGACAATGTGCAAATTCTTCTGCAGAAATCATTCTATGAGTAGAATGACAACACTGTAAAGCCATTTTTGTAAAAATCACCCACCTCACTCATATAAATTTCAGAATGCAAAAAAAGCAAAAATACTTACCATCGTTTCCAATGAATATTGTAATATTAATTTTTATTAGATTTACCTTCTTATTTATGGCAATGAAGATATAGAGCAGTGGTGGCGAACCTATGGCACGGGTGCCAGAGGCAGCACTCAGAGCCCTCTCTGTGGGCACGCGCACCGTCGCCCCAGTCCTAGGCCTTCAGCTGGGTTTCGCTTTAGACCTCCACCACCATGTACAAAAAAAAAAAGATTCAATCAGTCAATTTCAACTTCTCACGGAAAAAAAAAGATCTTGCAAAGTTGGAATTGATTGATTGAACTTTTTAGTCCCACCCAGTCTGCCGTTACCACTGCAGCCATGCCCACCCAATGGGCCACACCCACCCAATGGGCCACGCCCTCCTGGCACCCGACGATGCATAAGTGGGTTTTGGGTTGCATTTTGGGCACTCGGTCTCTAAAAGGTTTGCCATCACTGATATAGAGCAACCTTTAGATTCACTTTTCCTCCAACTTGGACACCCTCCTGATACATGGACTTCAATTCCCAGAATTCCCCAGCCAAAATGGCTATTTGCTGCCATTTCTTACATTTGAACTTTACAGAACTAGGAAGCAGGCAGGTTAGAAAATATAAAGGTACCATTTAAATCCATCCAGGGACCATCCAGTCATAGCTGAAGAAGCTTCTTGGATGAGAAGCGAAACATCTTCAAAGAAAAACAAAAAAGTCCTGTTGCATTGTGAAAAAGCACCTTTGGGATACTGCTTTTACTGTCTGCTCCCTCAACTCTCTCATAGCAAAACAGCAGCAACACTTTACTATACAATATGGAGTGTCTTAAGCAGTATCCACAGAAAATCAAGTTTTTTCCATCTCTGCACCTCAGCCAGAAGCTGCGTGGCTACTGGTCTGTTGCATTCAACCTTTGCCTACCTCTTGGGGCTATAGTTTCCTGCCAGCTG